AGCGGCAGGAGCCATTCCCTGAAGACTCAAAAGAACAGTTGTCCATGCAGCTTCCCTCACTTCATTTGCTTCCCTGTACGCAGCTAACAGCTTGCAAACTGGCAGCAACCCAGCAAGCAGAGGGGAAGACAGGATTCCTGCTAGACACACACATTCGCCCTCACACGTGCTCACTTTTACAAACCCTAATGTTGCAATTCCTTAATTCTCTTCTTTCCAAACCCAGCTCAGCTACAGAGTGAGCATTTTATCCTATTAGGACGAGAACTCCTAGTCCTGCAAAATCACAGGTTGCTTGGCAGTACAAAAAACATCATGGCTGCAGACTCTGTGTGTGGTGCACACTTGTGCCATTGGTCTCTGGCTTTCAGGGAGCAACTGTTGTGCTTACACACAAAACGCGAAGAAAGAAGGGAAAGAAATCAAATATTTACAGGAGGAGAAGTGATCCTACCCCACATGGTACAAATTTAGGGATGCATTGTAGCTACATTATGTGCACATAGCTACTGAAACAGTTTCCAACAGAATGTTTACACAGTTGTCTGGAAGCATATTGTTTGCCTACTTTTCGAAGTCAATTTATATGCAGCACACGTAGCAGCATGCATGAAAATTCAGACAAAAACACAGATGCATGCAACAATCCCTGGCCAGCTCTTGCTGCTCTTTATTGTTTGTTGCTCAGAAGTACCTAGGAGAGAGGAGGAAGTTAGCAGCCCACTGTGCTAGGCGCTGTACTACCCCAAACTAAAAGACAGGTATTTCCCTTGAGGAACGTACAATCTCCATTTAAGACAAGATACGACAAGTGAATGTAACAGAGAGTGAGGGAGTGACATAAGGGAATGAATAAGAGAGTTTGTATGTGCCAGCTTTATGCTCTCATGTGCCAACTAATAGAATACATGATGCAAATAAATACCAGTCTCCTACCGAAGGTAATGGGTTAGCTGTAGTCAGCTGGCAATTTATCAGGAGCTTTGCAGAGAAATTCATGAGAAATTTGGAGGAGCCCAGGCAAGCTGATAGATATGTTTGGAAGAGGGCATCCCAGAGAAAAGTGCCAGTGTGGGATAAAGGGAAGGATGTGTGACAAGGGAACAGGAAGGTGAAGGAGGTTGGTATAACTTCAGCAGCAAATCAGGGAGGCTCAGGTAACACAGTTGCTGGGAGGGAAGGAGGCGAAAGAAGACAAAAGAATAAAGAGCATATATCTAACTTGTTAAAGAGAGGGTGGGACCAAGAAGGACTGCAAAGGGCAAAAGAGAATGAATTTGTTGTTGCACTTTGAACACAACAGGGGGAACGAGGTCAGTGGGTTCCAGGAAAGTCTGGGTGAAAAGGATCAAAGCAAAACATGTCACTACAGGCAAAAGTCATGTCAAGAAATGGTGTAGAGTCAGCAAACCAGTAAGACACCATGCTGGGAAGCATGGGATTGAGGTCTTCTCCATGTCCAAGGAGGAAGGAGAGGAGGAAACACCCCCCCAAACAAAGCAGACGTAGCACAAGCTACAGGAGAGGGAGCAACAGGGACAGCGAGTGCAGCCTGCCCAAGGTTGCGTGCCATGGACAGCTCAAGAACACACTTTACTTTTAACAGCCAGCTGTACTGAACCACCTTCATCCAAGGCCTGAAAGGACGAGTCTAAGGGAAGAATTGAAAAGATATATTACACCCTCTTCTTGAAGTGCTCCTTTGCAGAAGGTCCCTCTCTCCCCGCTTGCAATCATTGCACAGATCAGAGCTGAGTCTCCTGCCTTAGGTGCCTCGAGTTAGGTGGTGTGAAAACCACTCATCAACGAAATTGCATCGAAGTCCCTGCACTGCAGTTCCCCGTGTCACCGCGCAGACAGATGTCCTCTCCTCCAGGCTCTGTGGCAGGTACTATTTATGTTCAATATTGTTTATATACCCCAAAACCTCCACGGGGAGATGCCAAATCAATAGGCCAAGAGCTGAAATATAGTCACTCCCTACCTTTTATTTTTCTGTTTTTAAAAGAACAACGGTCTTTCTACAACTCCACAAAGCCCCTTATAACACTAACAGAAGCACTGCAAGCTGCCAGGGCACCAGGAGCACTTATATGCCTCACTGCCCACCCTGTCCGCCCCCCCAGGGCTCCCCCCACCCTGCCCATGGCCCAGGACGCCACATCAGCCCCTCAGGGCCATCAGCCCCTGCCCCAGCGGGGCCGCAGCAGGGCCCGTCTCCAGCTCCCCACAGCCCTGCCCTGCCTGGCCATGGGTGCTGCTGAGCCAGGTTCACCCATGGGCCCGTGTCCCAGCTCAGCCTTGGCCTGTCCCCATCCCCACAGAGGTGTCCGATGCCCCGGGCTGGGGCTGCCATGGTGCCCCCAGGCTGTCCTGCTCCTGGCTGGGGCAGTGGGATGGGCCCTGTCTGCCAGGTCCTGTCCTGATAGACCCCAGGGGAGCCCCTGCTGCAACCTGGCATCAGCTGCTTGAGAAATATTAGCACGCAAGAAAAATCCAAAGACAAGCTCAGCCTTGCCAGGACCAAAACATCCAGCCCCAGCCCCTCCACATAAGATATTTTAAGGTTTTATAAGTGCACGGATGTTTCTGCTTTCCTTCTGGTAGTGAGCTACCGAGGTGTAACCCAATTGTGTTTTATCTTCTCTGCAGTGACATTGCGTGGTACCCTGATGAGATGGCCACTGCCACTCTCTTCCAACCTCTAAACCACTTCAGTGAGGTCCAGTTGGAACCTGGTGCCAGGTCACAGAGGGTCTGGGCCACACTGCAACCAAGCGTGGTGGGTAACCATGGCATCCCCACCACCACCGCCACCATGGAAGCCTCCAATCCAGGCTGACTGCTGTTTCTAAAGAGGGGAAAGCTAGACCACAAGGGCCTGCCCCCAGGAAGGACTTGAGAATCACAGTCAATTCACCACAGTTGGTCACATACATGCTAACATCAGCTCCTTCCCTAAACGGTGGTGATCCGAGGAGGCTCAAGGCCCATGCTGACAGCATTTCGTGATAATAAGTGGAGAGCTGCTCACCTTCCATGACACACACACAGATGTAGAGGGGAAAATATTTTTTGCAGTATTTTCTTCTTCCTTTCTCAGCCAAATCCTTACTTGGGCTGTTACGGATTATTCACACAGCAGCCCTGCCTGTGCTGACTGATCAGATTACCGCACCAATGCCTCTGTGGCTTTCAAATTCATTTCACAGGTTTCCAAGAAACAGATGCTGATACCTGATAAGTGGCAGCACCTGGCTTCAAAACAGGTCACCAGTTCATCAGCCTCTGATGTCTCGAGTAACATCTCAGCTTGGTGGAGAAATGTTACCCTAACCAGCTAACGGATTTCTGCGTGGGGAAATAAAGCTCCTCTTATGTACTTGTTGACATACTGATTCACACTTTTGCGTTGTTCCCAGTTGTGTTTAAGCACATGGAGCCCAAGTGAGCGCAATGATCGTGTTTAAAACATTTGGTGCCCTGGCTTCCTGTTGCATCCCAGAAGTTACCTGTTTGTCACAAGCAGCTTTACATGGCTCTATAGCACAGCTGAGATTCTTTGAAATAATGTTTTTATTAAAACAAAAGCAATCATTTGTATATGTATTGATTTTGATCATCAGAGGGCACAGACATGAGTGCATAGGTAACAGAAGAAAACGAACCACATGAACTGCTTTCTTCATCATTGTAGAGCTCTGAATTTCAGTATTTCAGCCTGCTTGCATGATGAAGGTAAGACACTGATACAGCGCACACACTGAAAAATGTTTACACAATACCCATTTTAAAAAAAAGCACTTATCCAACTAGTTAGGCCACACTTCAGTTTTCCACAAGACCTCTTACCTTGCTGTAAGACAGAATTACCCAGGGAAAAAATTGGACCCTAGTCTAACAGGGCTTTCAGGAATCTAATTACAGAATGGCAAAAATGCTGAATAGAGGCACATTAAATAACACGGCTGTCATTCTATGGCAATGTGTGATATATACCTAAAAGCCACCAGTGGCCAATAAAGTCAACAGGAGGATTTGCAACAGCTTACAAGAGCATAAAGGAAAGGAAAACAGTGTTTCTTGCACTGTACTGCCAGGCAAATGGAGCCATGGTGACCACAAAACACGGTTAGATTGCAATAAGACCATTCATAAAGCCGGGTCTAGGCACAAGGAATTGCTAAGGGCAGCAGAGTGGGACAGAAAGAGAGTTGGTGAAAGCCTTGCTGCCAGTTTTGCCCCCATAGTCACTCTGGGAAGCCAGCCCAGTGCTGTGGAAAGCTGGGAGAGGGCTGAGCCAAGGGGAGGCAGCTACAGGTGGGGACCCAGGGACAGCTGTCCCCCTGCCTCAGTGACAGCAAGGGCAGTGAGCTTTGTCTCTGCCCCAATGCCCTCTTTCTCCCCTACCTGTGATAGGGCTTCGGACAGCAAAGTGTATTTCTACCCTCTCCCCTGAAGCCTTGAGCCAGCTACTACTGCTTCTACCTAAAAAATGGGTTGCTTTCTTCCAACCAAGTCTATTTCCTATACTATTTTAATCCTTTGATTAGGTTTTCTGAGGCCTCAATTCACTCTGATGAAGATCAGTGGAAATTCATTCTCAGTTTCTGGGTGCGTTGCCGGTGTTACACTGACAAATGCACATCAGTGGGTAATTAGCTTCTCAGTCAGTAGATAGGCTGTGCCCATCAATTTCTGTGAATAAAATGTACTAAATCTATGCAGTAAATCTACCCTTAGAGGCAGGACAATTCTAAAGCACTGAGCACCAATAAACAACAATCAAAACCTAAAGAACCCAGTACTGCCAGACACTGCTGCCAGCAATATTACTGACCAGAGTGGGCAATTCTTTTAAAGAGCAGAAGTAATTTATATAGCACCCCCAGACACAGTATATCAGACCAGATGAACCCTAAACTGGCAACAGCATTGTCTAATTGGATTTCCCATTTTAGTTGCTGCCGGTTTTATCGCATGCTTATGTCACTGAGATACTAAGGCTGAAAGGTCACATCATATCTTAGAAGGTAACCATCATTGTAAACATACAGTTTCTGGTCTGTGGGGTTATAATCAATGCTCTGGATTGTATCTAACTTTTTATCCATAATGACACTTATTCTCCCTTCCTGGCCAGTACTCGTGTCATACATGTAGAAGATTTCCTCTTTCCTAGTGTTCATTGGCCTTGTGGCATACAGAACACCACATAACATGAAAGCGTTGGAAACAGATGGCTTGTACTGTCTCGTCTGCCAAGTATTTAGCACATCAAGTGTGGTCTCATTGAGTTTGCTAATCACAATGTTGCCCATGCTATTTTCCGTTGAATATATTACCCATAACCCACTTTCATCCACAGCAAAATCTATGTCTTGCCATGATACACCTGCATAAGAGAAACGATTACCAGTAACAGCATTTGGAAGCTCCTTTCTCAAAACCATGGTGTTTGTTTTTAAATTATGCTTCACCATATGTCTTGAACTATAAGCATGGTAGTACAAAAAATTATTATAAAGGGCAGCACCACTTCCTTCCCCATATGTTATTCTGCTTTCATACATGGGTTTAAACAGCAGCAAATTATCAAAGGAACTATAAATTCTGTAGTATTCCAAGTATCTCCCGTCTGTGTTCAATGGTGCAACCCAATAGACTTCCTTCTCTGGGTCAGAGGGAGAATAATCTCTACCCCAGGAACCATATTTGTAGGAAAATCCTCTCCAGTTCAGCTTTACAATATAGGGCTGGCTAACATTCAGCAGTCCACGGTGAATGCAGCTACCTGCAATTAAAGAGGAAAAAAAAAAAAGCAGGTTTTCCAAATGTCATCATTAGGAGAGAGGTTTTGCATACTGTAGCCTCTAGAGCGTGCTTACTAGAGATTAGCTGTGTGGCAAAAACAGGCATAAATGCATAACTTCATGTGTAAAAGGCTTGTTTTTGGCTGGGGGAGAGGGGGGCGGGTGCAGGGTAGAAAAGGTAGGGACATCCATCCTCAGTCAGGATTAATTCGCAAAAAATAAGTGCTCACTACGCTGTTGCAGACAAGGGACAGATTTCTGTTTCTACCCATTTGATGCATGCCAGCCTGATGCACTAGGAAATCCCTTGGAAAATACAATTTCAGAAGCATTTTAGGTTATTTTCTACCTCAGTGGAACGGAGAGCATGGGAGATGGGAAAAAAAAAAGAGAGAGGAGCATCTGATTTCTGTGTATTTCACCAAGGAGGGGAAGGAAGGAGCAGCAGCAGCAATAATTCCAGAGTCACATTTCAGATTAGCATTCTGCTGTCAGAATCACAGCTTTACAACAGCGCATCTGAGCCACATGATGCCTTCCACCTCAGGCCCTCAAAGAAATCTGCAGACAGTAACAATCACAGCCCAGGAAATGTAGACAGATATTACTCCAAGTTTTCGTGTGAGGCAACTCTAAAGAGAATATGACTTCAAGCTGAACCAGAACAGCTCCGTTTTCCACATATCAACTATGAAGCCATTTTCAGGATCATGGAAAAATGAATTCAGATACAAGAAATACTATCCTTTTACTCATGGTGAATGGCAGTGACATTCCTGTTTCCTGATAAATTCTCAATATTGTAAGAAGTCACTGGTGGAAAAAATCCTCCACTCAGAAATCTCCGTGTGCCTCTCATGAGTCCAAAGCTGCCACTGGCAAAAGCCAGTATGCTTTTTCCAAGTGTTAACATTAGCTTTTTGTATTACTGCCACAAAAAGTGTCCCAGAATTTTCATTGTAAGGTTATGTTCACCTGAGGTAATGGAGATAGAGATGGCAAGTGACTGGCACCAGCTCACAAGCTCAGCGATACTCCAATGTTTCCCTTTTCAGTGGGGTGCTTGAGCCACTAGACAGCCTTCCTTATTAAAGATGGAGTATAATATGAATAGACCGAAGTCTCACATATCAGTTAATGGGTAAATTAATGACCACAACTGTTTGATGTTAATAATACCTCCCTCGGCACCGGAACACCATGCACCACCAACTATGGCATCAATGATGAAAGTCAAACTTATCTTTTGAGGTCTTAATATTTTGCATGGGTACCATGTCACAAATGCTTACAGACTGTATGAAAAGAAATGGCTGTTCATAAGCTCAGTCATATGAAGGGATGTCTAGCACATAAATAACCTATGTCTTAGTGCAAAGAAGACAGAGAAATAACAGAGAGAGTATTTACCTTTTGCCCTCAAAGCTGGCCATTCCTAAGCAAGGCCAGACAATACTTACAGAGCTCAGTTGAAAACTCCTAAAGCCACTGACAGAAAAAGCCCAGGAGGTATCTTGTCCTCAAAGACAAGATACAGGCTGCCCAGAGAGGTTGTGGAGTCTCCCACACTGGAGACATTCAAAACCCGCCTGGATGCCATCCTGTGCAACCGGCTGTAGGTGACCCTGCTACGGCAGAGCAGCAGAGATGATCTCCAGAGGACCCTTCCAACCCCTACCATTCCGTGATTCTGTGACATCCTAGTCTATCCCACAGATAGAGGGAAATGCAGAGACAGACCAATCTGTAGTACTCTACTTGGAAAAAAACTGGGAAACAAGATATTTGGTGAAAAACGGGCTGTTGCAAAAGCAGAGAAATCTTTTTCTGATCTGCTTCACCCAGGGGGAAGGTGTTCTGCCTCTGCGACAAGGAAACATGTGTCCTGAATGTTAGAAATGTCCAAGCAAGAGGGCAACGTTTGTGCCAATGTGTAAAGTTGATTTGGGCACTGAAAGTCTCCTGGTCTCCTCCTTTCTCAAAATGTAGTATTTCTCTCATTCCACTACAGAACACCTTCACCCCTCACAGTTTTGTTCTGTCTTGCGCTAGTGACTGGAGGGACATGGTTCACCTGCAGCCTCCTCTCAACATCTATGAGGAAGGTGGGGAGAAACTTTATGTTAAATATAAATCACTATGCTGAGCTAAATCCCTGTGTCCCCAGGCCATGTGGGCAACTTTCTAGGGGTCAGTATTGCCCATGGGAGCAGCTCTGCACCACTGAGTGCCCAGCTTATGGTAGAGAGGATGACATGAGTTGGGAACAATCCGACTCCTCCTCCAGTCCCTTTCAAGTCCTGGGATTCTTGTGACTGAAACGTGGGATGACCCTGGTTGAACACTGCTTCCCTCCATGCCACCAAGAATCACAGCCAATCAGCATTCCTAGCTCGGAGCAGATAAGCATTTAAGCGTGCACTTAAGTGCTTTACAAAGGATGAGGCCCTGGAGCAGAAACCTCATTTCCAAATATAGCACACAAGGAAGGCACTGCTGTATGGCTGGCCAGGCTGCATCTCTGGAAATGGCACATAGCATGGCTACTAACATGGCCTCAGCACTTGGCACAGATGCCAACGTTTGGAGGTGCTTGTACCTCAGCTCATGCAAAGGAAGAAAGCTCAGGCAGACAGTGCAAAATGGCTCACAGTCTGCCAACTCCATAAATCAATTTGAACTGTTTTTTTTCTTATATCTCTATTATGTATTGTTACTTCAGGCATGAGGGCTTCTTTCAAGATGGTGACATATTGAATATATTACTGTGCCTAAATCACAATAAACTTAACTCAGAATTAAATGGCTATTAAATGCTCTAAAACTCTTGATTTGTTTAGAAAAATATGGCACCGAAGCTTGCAGGTAGTGAAGCACTGCTAAGCTCATCTATATGCGACCTCAAATAATTTTTCATGTCATTAAGCAGAACACAATTTCAGATTTATTTTAATAATTCATACATTGTTTCATAAATAAAAAACAAACGTGTGTTCAGCAGAGAGACCTTTTTTTACAAAAGAAATAATAAATTATTATTTCTTCCCTTAAAGAGATCTCTCTGCTGAACACTTGTTTGGTTTTTATTTATGAAACAATGAATTATTAAAATAAAGTTAGAAGCGTGTTCTGTTTTAATGACATCAAAAATTGTCTGAGGTTTCTATAGAGTATGTGCTTGATTTTGATTTCCTTGAAAACTCTCCCAGAATTATTATTTTTTTTTTACCAAAAAACTCTGTGGTAGTCAGGGGGTGATCTGTCTTCTGCACAGGTTCAGAAGAATTCATTGTTGTTTATTTAATCTAAACTTGCCTCCCTGTCTGGATCTTGTGGGGAAAAAAATGCACAAAGGAAACAAAGTGTCATGTAATTTTGTAAATATTAGAAGGTACTTGAAATAAATCCATATGCATTACTCAGACTTTCAAGTTTTTAACTCCTTTCTTCACTGTTTTGGGCCACTGATAAATGTTGTCCTGGTATTTTTGCCTTCCTTCTTTTCATGCTTATGTAGTAAATAGGTGAGAGGAGAACTAACATAGGTACGTACACACGTACTTCTTCTCCCTACATAAAGAACCAGTATCTCAGCTCCGTTGTTTACTAATCCTTCTGATTCATAAGAGAAGAAGCTGACATTTAGTTGTCAGGACTGGAGGAAACCCGACTTGCTTGGCTGATGGGCTGCAGAACTGACCCTGAGATGCATCCCTCTGGGTCTTGCTTCACCCACTTCGCTCTGAAGTACTCTTAGAGCATATAAGCTTCTCACTCCAACAATACAAGTGCCAAAAATACTCTAGCAGCCTTCCCCCACCAAGCAGCTGCATCTGATTGCAGAAGAGAAGGGACCATACAAGCTGGGACCCACATTTAAAGGAACTCCCATGATGGGCACAGAGACCAGGAGCAGGCTGGTGCTACATTCTCACTCTGGTGCTCCCAAGCACTGGATGTGCATCCTCCTCTCCCATCAGAAGAACAGCTGCATCCAGATGTGTGAGTTGTTACCAGCTTTATTATGCCTTGAGACACAGGAGAAAGAGTTGCTCAGGGAACGGTTCATCTTTGCTCCTAGTGTCTCACTGACATAGGAAAACCCATACAGACACCTCAGTCTTCACCAGAATTACGGGGCACAGACACAGGGTGACAGCGCATCAGTGAAGACTTATGTTGTCAGCATCTAACAGGGGATGAGGTGGAGGGCTGGAGTTCATCTGGTCTACATTCAGGCAACTAAAAATTGAGATGCCTCAGCTAAGGTCCCTCCATTGCCAATGGAGAAATGCGTCGCTCCAGGGGCACTTTGGGAAGTCTTGGAGAGGAGACACTGGCCAGCTCTTTTCAGGTGCCTGTAGGCATGTCTCTTTGTGTATGGACATATTCATTTCAAAACACAACCCAAATCACTCAAAAAACACAGACATCTTGGGTACATAAGAGGTAAAATATAAGGTAAAAGTGAAATCACTATAAGACTCCAATAAGATTGTCTGAGTTTCAGCATTAGGCTACACCAGGTCTTCCTCCTGCTGAGACCTATTCACCAGTAACTTGAAATCCTTAATTTCTAAGTATATAAAAGCCAGAAAAATCAGCTTTGCTCTTTTTTTCCTTTCCTTCTTTTTTTGCCTTTGAGAGATTCATCTGACTCACTTCTCCCTGCTGCCTCTCAGATCATTTCAGTGAGACATGACAAAGAATCTGCTGCAGAGTCCTCAAAGAACCATCCTGGGGTCTTTTCTTTCTATACCTTCCCTGATGCAGCCAGATGAGATCAGTGCAAAAGAAAAACAAATGGATAAATATTTCTTCCCACTGGAGTGGTGAAGAGAAAGCTGCTGCAGGAACTGATGCAGATAGGAAAGTAAGTCATGATGATGAGGGTGATTAACCATATATTTACTGAACCCCATCTTAGACACTCAGACATCCACCTCTCCAGTGAGAGAAGGCTGCAAATTGAGACCAGTGATTTCTTTCTGCTATTTCTTTTGAGAATGGGCCTGCTCACTCTGAGAAATACAGCAGCAAAAGCCTTGGGGGACAGAGTCAGAGGGGCTGTGTACTACAGCACTGAGAAGCGAGAAGCTTTAATTAAACTTGCCTTTAGACTCATGGTCTTAGACAGCTTGGGGATTAGCCAAGCTCTCTCTAGTTCATGTTGCCTACCCAAAATATGCAGGACAGAGGATGAAGGGGGAAAGAAAACGCAATCTGAAAACAGGACAAAGAGTCAGTTTAATACAAACATTATAAATATAATATGAACTAAAAGCAGGGCAAGGCCAAATGGCTTGGCAGGAATTCAAGGCATTCAAGCTTGCAGAGAAAACGTATGGAAATTGTGTTCAAATGCGTAAATGAGTGCTAGAGAGCTTCAGAGGCCTAGGTGTGAGCATCCATGCAAAGCCTCCAAAACAACCATCTAGAAAATGCAGCTCTCTCACATACTTACTCCATCTCCCCAGGCAATAACATCTTACTACTACTGCTTGTTTTCAGATACAGTCTGTAGGACGTGTAATTGCTCTACAAAGTTCTCTGCCCAGAGAATATTTGCTCTCTGCCAGGCACACAAAGTCAAGATACATCAGTCCTGCATGGATTAGCAGAGATCTGAGCCTACACAACACCTGTGTTATCTGTATAGCTGGCACCTCCCAACAGGTAGGAAATTTGCCAGCCCTCCGCAGTTGCTCAGCTAACAGCCCTTTGTGCCAGCCTCAGAGACCAGCCTCACCCTAAAGGTGGCCATGACAATAAGCCCACACACATCCTTCAACCCCTCCAGAGATCCTATTCCTGTGGGCAGGATATAAACTCACAGACAACACCAGAGGGTGTCCTCAGCTGGTGTCAGTGGTGGTAATTCTCTGGAAGCCAGTGGAGCTATCATTAGTGGAGCATATCACCTGGGGTTTTAGCCTTCTAGGTTATTTTCTGCTCTGTGGTTCCCACACAATGCTGTGACATGCAAAGGTGCCTGAGCTAGCTGGCACACCAGTCAGGAATAAGGCAACGCTCAAGCAATACCAGCTTGGTCCCAGATAAATCCTATCCACCTCCCCATCGTGCCCTAAGAAGCAATGCTAGATAATTCTATTAGGGTCACAATCCTATGCAGTCACATTTACCCATCCCAGAACCATCATCCTGCTCTGGGCATGACTTGCCTATCCCCGCATGGAGCTGCACTGTGAAGCACAGACCTCCCTTTCCCACTCCGAAGGCTCCTACATCCCACAGATGCTCACACCAACCACCCAGCCATAAAAGCAGCGCCTTCCTCCATCACTCATGGAAGGACACAGTATTCTTGTTTCACTACTTTCTTACTGAAACAAAGGCTTGCTGTAGGCTTGAAGAGAAAGAGGCTGTTTCTTTCCACACACCGTCACCCTCAATAAATCAATGAGATGCCCTTCAAATACTTTTAAAACATTGCTTGCTTTTTTTTTTTTTCATTGAAACATTTTAAGCCCTTCCTCAAGGAGCAGAGAAGGGCCTTGAGATTTTGCAGTGTAGGTTTTTGTCTCAGCTTTCTCTCCTGCCTGATCCCCCAGACAAGGTGTTACTCGTGCATGCTGTCAAAGAAGTGCAGCAGCTGCCTGCACTGCCATGAAGCCCTAAGGAGATCGCAATAAGAAAGGCTGCTGACCCTAAGGGAGGTTTGTATTTCTGCCTCTCACCTTTCCAACAAGATGTTTGAAACAGCTGACCCCAAGGTGATGAGAGGTAACTGCTGGTAGGTGCAAATCTGTGCTCCTTGCAAGCAGGACACCACTCCTCCTTTTTTATGGGCTCCTCTAGCTGATTGCTAACCAGCTTATGTGAAAAAGTAGGATCCTTCCCCAGGGTATTGTATACAACAGAGCACTTTCTTACAATACTCTGTCAAAAGGAACCCCCTGTGTATAAAACACTACGGCACCAACACAGTTTGATAAATCCTCCTTTCTGTGAGCAAGTAGGATGCTTGACCTGGCATACCTAAACTGCTGTTTCCTAAACAGTTTGCTCCAGTGTATCATATCTGACTCTCAAAATTTCTCAGGCTACGATTCAATTGCAACGTGATTTTTCAAACTGAACGCACCGTCAAGACTAAAATTATTATAGTTGTAAACTAATTACCACATGCCCTGTGACTGTTGCTACTTTTATATGAACTGCACTCTGGGAACCACTGATCTAAGCCCCAGAACATAACCTTTCCTTGTAAAGAAAGTGGTAAAATCCTAGTTCCATTGAAACCAGTAATAAAGCTCCCACTTATTTCCCGAAGACCAGAATTTCCCCCCAAGGCTCTTGACCTTCTGATTTACAAGAATCTTTTGCATGTGAAGCAAAAGTAATCTTCATGCAAATCTACCTTCCAGAGCTTGCATACCTCAGCTTTAGTACATCAACTGTTGCTCATACATTTCCCAAGCAGCATTAGAGAAAAATTGCCATGACACAGGTCACTTTCACAGGAACTATTAAAAATCAAAGCTGGTCAGAGAAAAAGTATAGTTTCCCATAGAAAAAAAGGTAATTGTTTTGAAAAAGAGAAGGGGGGTAGAGATTCACTTTTCACACTGCAGCTGAGAGGAAGATTACAACTTTTTCCAGTTGAAAGCAGCTACTGTGTCTGGAAGAGTTTGTTTCCTGCCCTCATTTTCCTTTTGAACCCATTGATGAAACGTTAGGAGCTGTCTTCTCAATTTTTCAAGAGCTAAGTAGTATTACTACAATTGTATTTAATATTAAAAAATAAATCTTTGCATTTACTGTTCTACCCATGTATTATGTTGTTTCCTATCTGATATACAATTGAAATGCTTACCTGGTGGGAAATAAGGGGGTACTGTAGTTTTGTTTGCGTTCTCTTCACCCTCTTTCAATCGATTCTGCAGAGACACAATTTGTCGACGAATTGCAAGGACATTGTTTTTGTCCAGTGATTCTAGTTCGTTTACCAGTATAGTCAGGTTTGTGATCTAGGGACAAAAAGAAGAGAGCAAGTTTAAATTTCTGTCAACTTTATTTTACAGATATGCACACAGAGGTATGTGACCACAAGGAAATGCTTTGACACTCAGTTGTACACCATAAAGCAAAAACATAGTGTTGTTTTGTACACAGTATAAAAATATCCAGTAAGTCTTAGGCAAGTACTAGCTATTATATATAAAAACTTCTTATTCCAGCCTTCCAAAAGTATCTGGAAATTTTATTTGCAAAGATAAATAATGTTCTCAATCCCCTAGTTGATGATGTAGAGGACAATGGAGAAAATGATATTTCACTTTTCATCTGAAGTAATTATTCTCTCTAGGTGAGTGATTAATTACAATTTTGAAAATGTGATTTATAGTCTGCTGGGAAGGTGATAGTCTTTCCCACTTCTTGATTTCATATTGATTGGGCCACTGCCCTAGCAACCAGCAGCTAATTTTATAATTATCTAAGTTAAAGCACGGAGGCTTTCAAGCATGGGGGTCTAAAAATTAATATTTATTATAATAATTTAATCAGTTCATGTGCTTAATACTATGCAAAACTGTTAACTTTCAGGCAGAGAGTTAGCAAAAATAAAGAGGTCCCCATTTGTTTTGGGGTTTCTTTGCTCTTCTATGCTTTATATCAAGGAAAAAGGTGTTAATATATTTAAGGTCAAGCTTTCTTTTAATTTATGCTGATGAAATGCTAAACTGGCTGCAGTAGAGACAGGCTACATTTCATCAACCTAAACACTAAAGAGATAGTAGACTATCTGTATATTTGAACCCTCTGTCGCTTATTAAGACTCCAGCAATACCTCCAAATATATTTGCTCAACGATGACATTGCTCCCAACAAGGCTGGATTTCAGCTGAGTGACCAGTCTCTCTAGGTCACTGATTTCCACTTTCAGTAACTGGAAGTCCAGTTCTGTGTAAGATACACTGCTCTTCTCCATATGCTCCACTTTGATGGTTAGATTAAGGATTTGCTGCTGATACAGTTCAATCATTTTTGAGTACTCTCTAACCTTAAAGAAAAAAAAAAAAAAAGGCACAAATTCAAGTCCAGGTTAGCAAATAAAACAAGCCTGTTTGATATCTTTATTATATGTCTGAGTACCCCATGCATAACTTCCATATACTTGACATATATATTCTTCACACAAAACACACAAATAAAATTCTCATCACATACACAAAAAATGTGAAATTTAACCCTCATTTATTGTTGGCAGTTCCACAAAGTCCCCTCAGTTTTTTAGGAATGCCTGGGGATAACTGAAGGCAGAATTTTACTCGCAGTCTTCCATTTTTTTAATTCTTTGCCAATATTGTCTTTGTGAGCTAATTTTATCCTCAGTATGCCAAGAACTTACAGTGGTGAAAATTTTATTAGGAAATCTGCAGTGTATTATCTCACAAAAGCAACCCAAGGAGGATGAAAATGCAATAAAGGATTCCCAAGTTTTTCAACTTCATTTCCTATTAACTCTGAATCCAAATAGGATTTCACCCTGCCTACATTTGAATTGTGCCAAAAGTTGGCAGAACTGGTTTGAGGTTTGTCTTTGGACAGGTAGGGGATGTTTAAACACAGTGTTAAAAATCAAATCTGGTTTAAATGAAAGTTTAAAATTTATTGCAGGCTTTAGCTAAAGTAATTTACATAGCAGCCTTTTCAGCCTTTGAACCATTAAACAGTTGTCCGCATAAATATATTTTCACACATGTATCTGCTGAGGTAAAGGTCACAGCACAAGCATTGTGATGCAGAATACTAAGAATATTATATGGATTCAGAACATTCCTTGGAAAACATTAGTTCCTTGAAATTTAACACTTTGGGAAACATACATAATTTCTCTCCTATACGCTTCATAAAATTCATGTCTGTTTTCCCTTAAATCAATATAACTGTATCACAAAAGGTAAGAAGTAGGAATAAATATAATTATTTTGTTACAGCAGTAACTCCATATTTATACTCTCAGATGGTGTTTGTAGTATAAGCACCTCTCTCTACAGCACTATGATTTCCAGAACTATCACATCTTTGACTGAAAGATTTTTAGCCTGCATCATCTCAACCGTTCTTGCATTATCTTAACATAAAATGAAAGTCAGTATTTTTCCCCATCGGTGCTGGAATGGCCTCTAAAATCCTGTCATTGTGTGAAGACCACGGACTCCCTGTTCTCCTCTTCAGGCAGCAGCCCCTGGGATTGGGACCCTAATAAACATACTTATCAAAGAACTCCTTTCAATTTTGACTGAATCTCTTGTGTACCAAAAAGGAGGTATAGGAGCTCGCAGCATGGAAATTGATGAAGGGCAGAAAGGACCCTTTCACAGCATAAGATGATGTCGTTTAAGAAGGAGAACCATAACTGAGAAGACCCTCTTATCAAAACTATAATTTTGAATAGTGGCACAACTACACTATAAATCTGAACAAACCCCTCTGCCTGCACATAACATACACCAAAAACAGCCTGCTCAATCCGGCGCACTTAAATCCAGGTTTGAAACAGATCTTCTGTTCTAAATGTGTGCAGCCAGACTCTGAGCTGCTCTGATATAAACTGGCGCGTCCCCATAAGCTGCAGCAGAAGCACCTTGACTCATAACACTGGATGCTCTAGATCTTCCAGGTCAAGCCAGGGTAACATCAAGCTTAGGAATAACTAGGCTATTAACTACAATTAAGAATAAAAAAATAATAGCATAGAAAGATTTAGACGTAACTCTTTGTATCTGGCTGACTTATTTACTTCATCACCTATTTGCCCTTACAAATTCAGCACTGAGCAGAGGCATTTGCAAAAAAAAAAAAAAAAAAAAAACAGCTAGGATCCCTTGTCCTATCTGACACTATCATCTGTTCAGGAGAGAACAGAAGAAAGAAATGGACAATATTCTTGGAAAAGCCAGATATAGTTGGACCTCGCACTTTCACTGATCACCAAAATCAGTTTGGAGTTGAAAGATATCCTCAAAAAAGTCTTCTGAAAAAAATCTTCAAAGGTCAGTGTTTAAACTGCATGCCTAGAGTTTGCACAACAAAAAAGCAGGCATATATGATTACAGCCTGAGAAATACAAAGCAAGCCCCTGTCTGAACAAAACTGCACTACCGTGTAAAACTGTACATCATAGAGGTATTTGGAAATCTATCTAGGTATTAATAACCTTTCTCATGGTAATACTAATACTAACATTAATACTACTACTAATAATAATGCTGCAGTATAGACCAAATCTATAAACGACTGAAATGAACAGACTGCTGGAATTAGTGATGGCTACTCATTAGTGAGAAACCTGTGAATGTGGAGTTTTCTCCAGGGTCCTGAGAGCCTGGTCAAAATGCTGAGGGCTGGAACAAGGCATACATAGTTATTTCAACCCTCACTGCAGAGTGCTGCAGGGCACAGACCTGAAGATCTCTTCCCACATCAGAGGGTTTTCACTCAGTTGACCATCTAGGTCATTTAAGGACATGCCAACACCATCCAGTGGAATATAGCTGAGAGATATCCATACAAGTTGAGCCTGAACTAGCCCCAGCAGTCTGCAGTGCTCTATACAGCCACACCAGTATCGCAATGAACTCAAGCTAATAGCTCCCCTGGCAAATTATTGGACAAATATAATTTTCTCAGCAGCGCTGCTCTAACAGGTCTATACCGCTTTTGCAGACAAATCCAGCACATATGTCAAGCACTGCAATGCCCTGTGTGGACATTCCCACCTGCTCAGATCCGGCTCAGGAGTTTCTGTAGTTCAGAAATATCGGTTGAAAAAGGAACATGATGTTGCTCTGTTGCTTGGCAAATAGATTTAAGCAGCTCGTAATCCCTGGGTCTTCTACTGTAGCTACCTGCTAGGGACTGACTGTTGTCTTTTGACAAACTGGCACAGAAATTCTGTGCATATCCCATATTTAGGCATACAGAACAATAACTGGTAATGATTGCTGCCACGTTTATCATAAAAGCCTGAAGTAGGGTATGATGAGTGCATAGGGCCTGTATTAGCTCTTTATAGGAAGAGAATGGAGCCATGTGAGGTATATGTAGGAAAAAAAAATTCCTCAGTTTCAGTTTTTCCTCCTTTCCAAGCATTGTCAGCCTCATGGAACGAAAAGGGCAGGAAAAATCTGCAACGTTTATTTACTGTGTCATTTACCTGCAATTGGTATTTATCAACACAGGTTTTGCAGCATGCAAACAGACACTTCTCCAGCACGCATTTGGAGAGTACAGAAGGGGGAACAAAGGTGCAAGATGATGATGTAAAAGAAAAAAAGTGGGAAGACTGAAGGAAGATGAAGAAGAAGAAACAAAACCAGCCACTCTATAAAGTCACTCAGCCCAGGACACTGGCTTCGGGCAGGCCTGACCTCTACAGACCCATAAGAAGCATGGTTGGCAAGCAGTCTACAAGCTGACACTGAGAAGAATTCTGCTGCAAGTTAACCTATTTTGAAAACAGCTGTTCCTAGTGGAGGGCAGGCATGTTTTTTTCTCCGGTTTTTGTTACGTGAGGATGTTGTGTGAGCCAAGTTCTGAAAGGCACTTTTTCTCCTTGGGATGAAGTGCTGATCCTTCCCTGTTACGGAGGTGTCCTCTCTCCTTTCCTATAGAGAGCAGCAGCCAATTCCAGCTTTGCTTTGAAAGGTTAATTTTCTTCTGTAATCATAATTATGCTGGCAAAGGTTGATGTGACAGAGGAAAAATTAGTCTGGTATTTTCAGCCTACGGTTTGTACTCATTTGGCACATGAGAGCATCTCTTTATCTGTGAGCTTCCTTGCCTGCTGATTCTATAAAAGGACCCCCTTGCTTTTTGAATTAGCCTACAATCAGGCAAAAGGTTAACGATTCAATCAGGTTGTTTATCTGGGACTTCTAGCACATGGAAAGCATCCTTAAGAGGGTCCAATCCTGCAGCTCTTACCCAGGAAAAACTCCCATGAGCTTCAAAGGGCGCTTTAGGAGAGTGAAAAAAGCATGGGTTCTCAGAGTCAAAAAAGCAAGCACTCAGTAGAAATTCCCACCCCTGTGGTGAGACTAGGTTATGTTTGAGCATAATTCCCTAGGATTTTGCTCAGGATCATTTCTAGTAATGATCAATAATGAGAACTGGGATTTCCTCCATTTCATTATTTTCTTCTTTCTATGAGTATTATCAAGACTAAATTACTGTACAGGGTTGTATAAGGAGGTTTTTTCCATGAGTGGAAAGGTGAAGAATTTTTATGCATGGATACTCATGCATCACAAGATCTGAGATTACTTAAGTTCAGATATCAATAGGGCAATGCTTGACAGCTTTCTTCTTCTTACAGAAGAACGATATTATAACTGAAAAATCTTACACACAGGGTTACACCAAAATGCATTTCTGACCCAAAGTGTCTCTTTGCCTGGATCACACCAAAGTATATGTCACACTTTATCTAACTAGATGCATTGTAACACTGCTTGGCTGATTGGTCTTGAAATTCAGTGAAGCCTGAGTTAGCTAAAGAATTTTCACTGTCTGCAGCAAGAACTGAAAGCCAAGGTCAGCGTCTACACTGTGTGACACTGCTGGGCACCTAAGGATGACAGCACAGGTTCCATCCTAATTTTAGATATCTATAGTAACCTGTGTCTTCATATGAGCAAGATGCCTGAATTCAGTGGAGAGCTGGGGCTGTCCACAGAGAGAGGTCAAGCAACACTTGAGATGCTCTGCAGATCTGTATGGAACTAGCAGATATGTCACACATCCTAAAGGCAAAATGCACTATTCCAAGGAAAGTACTGGTAAGAGACTGGTTACACCAGGGCAAGTGACTCAGAAAGGAGGTACGCAAACACCTGGAAGAATCACTGCAACTTTCTGGCCGGGAATCATGCCCCTGATCCTGTCCCAGTGCAATTAGCTTAAAATGCTGGCACTGACCACAGTGGGAACAGTATGGGGACCTGAAATCTCAGTGATTTTTATGGGTCATTAACTCTGAGTTACACCTCCATCCTGCAAGGTAACTCTTGTGCTTGGAGGCAGTGGGACTTCTGTCAGCTTGCCCTTCATATCCCTGCTGACAGCTGAATGTGTTTCATTGTTAGCTCCAGTTCTTTCAAAACAAATGATTTGAACTGAAAGATCTTACCACAGGATCCTCCGCCTGTTGTTCTGTTTTTTATGCACAACTTCTTATCTGTTCTTGATTATACCAGAGGAGGGTTATGAATATTTATGGTTAGAATTTATAATTTAATGCTCTGCCTTTTCTGCTGATTAATTCAAGGACACTTCATTTCTTAAGATGCTTGGTTCCTGAAGAAAACACTTTCTGCTGGACACCTAATCTGAATCCTGAATATTTATCCACAATCAAAAGTCAAAGGCAGATTTCTGTCTTCACAGGCAGCTTCACCCAGTGCACTGCAGCATGTGTGGGTTTGCTCGAGTTCCTCAAAAAATGGATCTGAATTCATGCAACAAGCAGCCAAAGTAGTGTAAGGTGCGTTTGACTTCAACAACAATGCATAATTCAGCAGTCTCACTGCCACAGCTTCAGATGTTGACAAGGAAGATATCTGATTTTTTAATACTTTTTTTAATCTCTGAGAGAAGAAGCGAAGGGACAAATATTCACCTACTTCTTCACTCT